TGTTTTAAAGAATTTTTATTTTTTTCCTCTGGGAACATTCTTCCTTCCTTGACTGTTTTTATACTTCATTGTTTTATTTCCCATCCACTTTTCTTGTCTCTCATTCTCTACCTTTTGGAACCCTTGTGTCTTCTCTTACCTCTTAAATGTGGGTGTTTTTCTAGTCTCTCTCCCTCTGTCCTTTCACTTGCCTTTTTCTCTCTTCTTTTGGCTTTATCAGTCTTTCTCTTCTGCTTTGGCCTCCTTTGGGCTTTGGTTTATGTCTCTTAATTGCTTTTAAGCTAGGTCTCCATGCTTCAGACTCTCAGCATGTCTAAAGCTGTATTTATCAGACGTCTGTCCATTGGTAGTACCATCATTCTCCCATGCTTGTAAGTGTAGAATTCCAGTGATCTCTTACTTCTCTCTCATGTCCTATTTAATCACAAAACTACAGGTAGACTTTGAAAATTTCTTTAAAACATCCATTCCTTTATTTCCATTTCTGCTACCTTGAGCTTCAGTAATTGCAATGTACAGTCTTCACTCTGCCTTTCTGCCTCCAGAATCTCCCTGCCCCTCTGTCTTCTCCATTACTATCAGATTTTTTGCTTCAGACCCTTATCTTCATAAATTCATGTCCTTAGAAATTTTCAGTGCCTCTCTAAGGCCCACAGAAAGAATAGTGTCCAGACCTTCCATAGGCCAGTCCTAACCTCCCCTGCTACTGATGGGCCAGTTTCACCAAACTGGTTTCCCTAAGCTGTACACTTTCTTTTACCTTTTTAAAGAAACCTTTTATGGAATGTTTTTCTCTTTCCTCTTTAGTTACTTATAGATCTGTTTTTTCTTAGATTCCTAATGAAATCCTTCTTCCCCCTGTATTAGACTATCAGAGAGTACAGTGATAAACTCTTTCCTTTGATTCTCATATAACATTCATTTTTCAATTGCCATGTATACAAAAAGTCTAAGGGAGTATATTATCTTTTCCCTGAATCCTCAAAAATGCATGACATTCTAATACCTGGAGGAAATCTTAGATTTTCTTAATTATTTCTTTGATGTTATTGACCATTCTACATTTTATATATAGAGAGTGGCACATGGCCTTGGGTGTAATAGATGAGGTGCTTAGTCATTTGATGATGGAGAGTTAAATAGATTATCTATTGAGAGTACTTTGGTATTTGAGATGTAAAACATCAACACTGAAAACCTGGGGTACATGATATTCTGTTTTCTTTCCCCTTCTCTATGTGCAGTGTGCAGGGAACTTCAGATCTACATTCCCTTCATGTTTTCTTGATACTTGTAGTTACACTGTTCCTAGGAACCCCATCACAGACTTAAAAACAAAATAAATAAATATATGTTTACTGAAAAAATTATTTTTAATTTCAAGTCTCACTAATTGAACACCTACTTTGTGTCAAGCACTGGGGACACAGTGGTGATAATGATAGTGTTGCACCCTTTGAGCTGACATTCTAGAACATATATAATATTATTAGTGAAATGCTATTAAAGCATTGTAAGAGGATAAAGAGCAATTACTGTAAAGGTGGCTGTTTCAGAGGTTCAAGTAGTAAAGACTAAATCAAGTGCTCTTGTGTCTTACCCCTTCTGTCATTCTGTTGCCCAAAGGTAGCCACTGTTAACTACCTTCCAGAGATTTTTTTCATATATAAACATTTACTAGGACATAGACTTTGATTTGTGTCTGTCACTTAATAATATACTGTGGAGATCATTTCATATCACTGAATTTCTTATTTTACTCTTTGCCTGGTGTTCACTGAATGGATGTCTGGTAATTTTATACCTGAGTTGTTAGACATTTAGGTTGTTTCCATTTTAAGTGTGAGCCCCTTGAACATGTATCTTTGGAATCTTTGGATAACTGTGTGGGTATAAGCTATAAGTTCCTAAAAGTTATACCCCCTTTTTATATTTTCTCAGTATACCTGATGGTTTACTTTGAACTAAATGAAAGAAATAAAACACTCCCTTCTTATTCTAAGTCTGATGTCTGTCTCTCCCCTGCTCCTTTAACATGTACATTGTGATCTTATCCAGACCTCCACTTGGACATACCGGGCATAGTATTAGATAGAAGGTATTCAGTGAAATCACACTTAAGGCCTTGCTTGTCTGCCTTGCTGCTCGTGTGCTTTTGATACCTCTTCTGATTTTCTCTACTTGACCATATTTTCTATCAGTGAATGAGCTCTGTAACCCAACCTCCTAGGATAAACTTTGTGTCCATTACTAAGTGTGTAACCTTGAATAAATAACTTAACCTCTGTGTTTCAGTTTCATCCTACATAGAGTTAGGATAATAATGGTATCTACCTCATAATGTCATTGTGAGCACTGTATGAGTAATAGACATGTAAAACACTTAGCACAGTATTTGGCCCATTACAGGTACACAATAAATGTTAGCTGCTTTTCTAACTAATATCACCCTCCTCCCACTGCCACAGCAAGCTCTTCCTCAGTGGCATTTTACTGTGTACCTTGTATTTCATTACAGGCTGATTTCTATAACTGTTCAGAGGTTTCATTATCTTAACTCTAAGCTCCTTGAAGCCAGGGAGAGTATATTATTTTTTTATTACCTACTCAATAGTGCCTTGCACACAATTGTGCTTAATTAATATTAATCAATTAAATATGTATACTTTTGGAGGAGCGGTCATGAAACCAGCATTTACAATACAAATCTGGTTTTTAGCTGTGTAATTTTTATCCTTGACTTGGTTGAAAACAAACTGTAATAATTACATTTCAGGAGATGACGCATTCATGGCCTCCCCCTCTAACGGCTATTCATACACCATGCAAAACAGAACCTTCCAAATTTCCTTTTCCAACTAAGGTAAGTGAATAAAATGTGTCTTTGCTACTATAAGATAACTCTAAATGGCTTGACTAAAATTATATGAATTCAAAATTGTCTTGCCATTCCCATTCTAGTGGGAGACAGACAATTAAATGAATAAATAAATAAGTTCAGATAGTGATAAGTGCTCTGAAGAAAATAAAACAAGATAATAGAATTGAGAGCGACTTAGATTGAGAGGTACTTGAAAAGCTTTCGAGGCAGTATGGGGAAGAGACTTCTAAGTTTGTTGTAAACTATTAAGGGTCTTCTCAGCCACAGGTGTTAAGGGCTTCTCAAGCTGTTGTCTCAGAAAATCCTTTCCATAGAACATAGCAACCCTGTTTGTGTCATATGGAAGAAGGTTCCTCAGACATAAGTTCCGAGCTCATCAAAAATCAGCAGACTTCTTTTTACATTAATTTATACTTACATAAATTATATAAGAATACCTTCTCTTTGTGGAGTTTGACCAGAACCTCTACTAATAGTCTTCCCCAATTCTGCCTCCTCCATTTCATCAGAGCTACTTCCATACATACCTTTCTTTGCAAGACTTTCGTATCCATTTACATACATATATATATAATCATTACTTATAAGCATTTTCTCGTTTAATTTCTTTACAGATACATTGTTCTGTACTTTGAATCAACAATAGGTCTTAAAGACATTTCCATGTTATAAGTATAGATTATATATAGATTATATGTTACATATAGAGATATTTCTTTTAATTGCATCCATAGTATAAATGTATCTTAGTTTATTTAGCCATTTCTCTTTGGTATTTAAGTTGTTGCCAAGTTTTCATTTCTATAAGCATTGCTTTAGTGGATATCTTTTCACGCCTTCTTGTGTGTACAAATTTCTTTTGGGTAAAAAGCAATAAGTAGAATTGCTGAGTATAAAGAGTATATGCTTAATATATACTCTCACATTCCCCCTGTTGTGGTTGTACCAGTCAGTACTCTCACTTGTGTTCTCTATTTATTATCCCTCACATGTACACCACCATTTGTTAAGCACCAATCTTTTGTGTGAGAGATGGCATTTTGTTACCTAGATCGCTAGTAAAGTTCATCATCTTTACACATTTATCATCCATTTGATTTCATATGGATGAATTTGCCCATTTCCTTTACCCTTTGGGTTCCATCACCTATGAGTTTTAGGAGGATTTCTTTATTTTATGTTGTTTTGTTTGAATTCTGGATTCTAATAATTTCTTCTACTGTATGCTACAAATATATCTCCCAGTTAGAGTCCTTTTAAGTTTTATGGTCTAGAAGATTTTAATTTTGATGAAAATACATCTTTCTCTATAGCTTTTGCTTTTTAATGTTTTATTAAAGAAGGTTATTCCTTCTCTAGGATCATAAACATGCCCTCTAATTTTTCTTTTAATATGATTTCAGGTTTTTTTTTTATTTATAGTTAGCCCAGTTTATTTTTATGAATGATGTTAGGTAGAGATACAACTTTCTGGCCATATATGTACCATACTACACTCTTTTACTTTTTAAATCAGCTTTATTTACACATAAAAAATGCACATATATTTAATGTACAGTTTGCTTTGATAGATGTGTGCATCTTTGTAACCACAACCCTAATCAAGAATTAGACCATTTCCATCACCTGCAAAGTTCCCTCATGTTCTTTTGCAGTCCACCTCAATTGTGTGGCCCCACACAATTACTAATTTGTTTTATGTCACTAGGGTAAGTTTCGCTTTTTCTCAAATTTCATATAAATGGAATCTATTCAGTGTTTACTTCTTTTGTAAAAACGATTCTTCTTTTGCTCAGCTTATAGTTTTGAATTCTTCTTTGTTCTTGAATGTATTAGTAATTTGTCCCTTTTTATTTTTGAGTTCCTTTTTATTTCTGTTGTATAAAAATACCAAAATTTATCCATTCACCTATTGATGAACATTTGAGTCGTTTCCAGATTTGGGCTATTAAGAATAAAGTATAAACACTCACTTACAAGTCTTTGTGTAGACTTATGTTTTCTTTTCTCCTGGGTAATACTGGGCCATATGGCAAAAAAGCAGAATTGCTGGGTCGTATGTTGAGTGCATATTAAATTAATACTAAACCGAAAACTATTTTCCAGAGTAATTATATCACACTCCTCTCCACCCCATTCCCCAGCAGCCTGATAGTTTCATTTGTTCTCCATCTTTGCCTACATTTGGTATTGTCAGTCACTTTACTTTTAGCTATTTTATTGGGCATGTAGAGTTATCTTTTATTTGTATTTGTATTTCCCTGATGACGAATGAATGATATTGAATCTCTTTTCATGAACTTATTGGCCATTCTTCTTTTTGAAATGTCAGTTCAAATCTTTTGCACTTTTTTTTGGCGGGAGGGATGGTGGTTGTGTCAGGGTCAGGGGGTGGTGTTTGTAGTTTTCTTACAATGTCTTTGGTTTTAGTATCAGGATAGTACTGGCTTCTTAAAAGGAGCAAGAAGTGTTCTCTTATCGTTACTTCTGAAATAGCTTTTGGAATATTAGTATTAATTTTTCCTTGAATGTTTAATATAATTCAACAGTGAAGCTGTCTGAGCCTGTAGTGTTCTTCATTGGAGGGTTTTAAATTAAAAATTCAATTTGGAAGGTTTTAAATTAAAAATTCAATTTCTTATATTAGATACAGAGGTATTCGGATTTTCTATTTCTTATGTCAGTTTTGGTAACTTATTTCATCTTTGTAGTCAAATTTATTGGCATAGAGTTATTTATAATATATGCTTATTCTTTCAATGTCTGTAGGATCTGTAGTGACGTCCTTTTTTCACCTGATACTGGTGATTTGTATTTTGTTTCTCTGTTTTCCTTGATCATTCTAGCTAGAGGTTTTTTAGTTTTTTTGATTGTTTCCAAGAACCATCTTTTAGTTTTTTCCCCCCAGTTTTCTATTTCTTTGATTTTTGCTTTTATTGCGAATATTTTCTTTCTACATATTTGGGGTTTCATTTGCTTTTCTTCTAATTTCTTAAGGTAGAAACTTAGATCATAGATTGTAAGCATTTTTGTTTTAACTATTTAAAACTATCAGTTTTTCATCTATGGCCATGCCACCCTGAACAAGCCAATCCCGTCTGTTCTCAGAAGCTAAGCAGGGTCAGGCCTGGTTAGTACTTGGATGGGAGACCACCTAGGAAGACCAGGTGCTGTAAGAGTAAAAAATAAAAAATTAAAAAAATAAGAGATTGTAAGCTGACAAGGTCCTTGCAATCTATGAAGTCAACCAAGGGTTGCCTCACCTAAAAAAATAAAAATAAAAAATAAAGCTACCAGTTTTCCTCTAAGCCCTACTTTAAGTGTGTCTCACAGATTATAATATATTGTTTTTATTATTTAGTACAAAATATTTTGTGTCTTTTTTGATCCATGGGTTATTCAAAAGTGTATGGTTTTATATTAAAATATTTAAGCATTTTCCAGATATTGTTCTGTTATTAATTTCTAATTTATGTTCTTGTCAGAGAATATATGCTGTATAATTTCAGTCCTTTTAAATGTTAATGTATTATGGCCTAATATGTGATCTTTCTTGGTGACTGTTTCGTGTGCTTTGGAAACAATATGTTCTATATATATCAGATCAAATTGGTTGAGAGTAGTTATCTTTATGTGTATATTTTTTAAGTCATCTATATTTTTACTGACTTTCTGTCTACTTGTTCAGTTACTGAGAGTGTTGACATCTGCATCTCTATTTGTTGATCTCTTTCCTTTTCAGTTTTGTCTGTTTTTGATTTGTGTATTTTGAAGCTTTGTCTTTGGGTACGTACACATTGAAGATTGGTATATCTTTCCGACGAATTGATCTCTTTTTTTCAATACAAGATGTCCCTTTTTATATCTGGTATTAATCCTTGTTCTGAAGTCTACTTTATCTGATATTCATAAGCCACTCCAGCTTTCAATTCATTGTTAGCATAGTTTAACATTTTCTGTTCTTTTTTTTTTTTTTTTTAATTTATCTGCACCTTTATATTTAAAATGAGTTTCTTATAGCCAGCATATAATTGAGTCTTGCATTTTCATTTAGTCTGCCAATCTCTAGCATTTAATTTTGGAGTGTTTAATCAATTTCTTTTTAATGTAATCTTTGCTATTGTAGGGTTTAAGTGTATCATTTTACTATTTGTTTTCTATTTGTCCGATCGGTTCTTTCTTTGTTTCCTTTCATGAGATTCTTTTGGTTTAATTTATTATTTTTTTAATATTCTATCTCTTGTATTTAATAACTATGCTTGTTTTTAAAAAATTAAAATTAAATTGTAAAATTAAAGCTTGAGTTTATCAGAAGACTTGGAACATGACTTCATAATTCTGGCTACTACCTACTTTTTCTTTTTTTGGGTAACAGTTTTGTTGAGATATTATATACGTACCATTTAGTTCATCCATTTAAAATGTACAGTTCACTGGTTTTTAGTATATTCAGAGTCATGCAACCATCACTACAATTATTTTAGAACATTTCATCAGCTAAAAAGAAACTTTGCTAAAATGGTTTTAGCAGTCATACTTCTATATCTTCCAGCTGCCCACCCCCTCAACTCCCCAGCCCTGGGCAACCACTGATCCAAGTTATATTTCTATAGATTTGCCTATTCTGGACATTTCATGTAAATGAAATCATACAATATATGGTCTTTTGTGACTGGATCATTCTACTTAGCATGATGTATTCAATGTTCATCTATGTTATAGCATGTATCAATACTTCATTCCTTTTTATGGCTGAATATATCTCCTTGTATGGATATATCACATTTTGTTTATTCATCAGTTGGTTAACATTTGGGTTGTTTTCAGTTTTTGGCTATTATGAAAAATGCTGCTGTAAACATCAGCATAAAAATGTTTGTGTAATTAGTTGTATGTTTTTAGTTTTCTTGGTTATATACCCAGGAGTGGAATTGCTGGGTCATGTGGTAATTCTGTGTTTAATATTTGAGGAACTGCTTGAT